AGTAGTAGTAGTAGTAGTAGTAGTAGTAGTAGTAGTAGTAGTAGTAGCCCTCTGGGGGAAGTCTTTTTGTTCAGGGCTGGAAGACACGAATGAGCTCAACAGTTCGAGATCAAGCAGGTTATTTTTCGACGTGTCATTGCAAGTAGAACTTTAATAGAAGAGATGACGGAGCGTAGTGGATGACGAACGTGCGTCGGAATGATAGAAACATCATCGGTTCGGTACAGATAAAACGATAGCTCTACAAACGAAGGTTCAACCGGTCGGGACCTCGGCTTGTCACGTCCAAGGCACACGGATCATGCCATAGTCTCCCAAACTATCAGAGATGCGGTGAAAGTGCAGAAGCACCTCACCCAACAAGTAGAGGAGGTCATACAAAGACTCGACGGCCGTCAACAGATGTTCTCGGCTCTCCTGCTGTTGTGGATCTCGAAAGGGCCCTGCGAGGCCACTGTATTTGAAATGCCCAGCTGCAAACTCGTCACGCACGCGCCTGCGCAAACGAAAGAACAGCTCCCCGCCAATCACATCGAATGGTTGCATGAATCTGCTGGTGTTACAACAAGAGATACCTATACTGAGGGCTTTCTGAGAAGTGCGTCGTGGCTTCAGCAAAACATATCGAACACATAGAGAACGTGTCCTTGCCTGATCTGCGCCAAAGCATTTTCTGCTGGCTCCTGGCTGGTGATGCTGAGAGGAGACCCCTGCAAAGGCGATAGACCTGAGAGGACGGGCGATAGGCCCATGCACCACTGCCCAAGTTTGGACTCGTTTTGAGGGATTCAACAGGTTGGGTGTTTGCTTAAGGAACTGGAAAAATGAAAAATTTCCCCAGTTCTGGGGACTTTCTTACCCATTGGGAAAGCAATGCGCTCACCCCTTCCGTAAGCAAAACCAGAAACAGGTTTGGTGTTCCAGTTTGGCCCACAGTCATGACATGGAACCAGCAATGCAGATCAAACCAAAATCTGAAAGCTGAAATCTTGACTCAGAGACCTTTGAGCTCTTCTTCACTTCCACCACCTGCAAACAAATGAAATGTCCATCTGAGGCCCAACAATGCAGTGATCAAGGATCCAATGAGGCAGGGCCAGGCGTCTTGCATGCTCTTCTGCAGTTGTGGATCAGCGCGGCTGGGCAATGGATTCCCTACTGCAGGCAAGGATTGCCATAGCACCACCACCTACGAAGGATGACGATTTGGACGAATGATCTGGTCAAAAGCAAAACAAAATGGCCGAGCATGACAATGACATGGACAAGCGCAGAACCAAAAAACGGACATCGAGAATGGGTCCGTCAACCTTGTACACCAGCCTCCAAGTGAAGCATGTGAACAACCCTTGGCAAACGACTTTCCTCCCTTAAACATCCAACAGGGGCTTGACTACCGAGTGATCGCTGTTTCTTTGATTGTAACCCCTGTTTCGTCCACTCCCCACTCAAAAATCAAATGCCTCTTTCAAAAATGGCTAGAAACAAACTAGACCCTCGACCACCAAACAAGAGACGAAAAACAATAGATTAACATACATCAAATATATCCAAACACTCCATGTATGGCATATATGCCTACATTGACCAATGTAGGCAATTATGGCATACATGGAGTGTCTGGGATATATATATATATATATAGCTAAGTTAAATGTATATATATATATACTATATACATACAAATAGAACCAACCCACCCACCAACCCACCAACCAACCAACCAACCAAGCCAGCCAGCCCACGGACCGACCGACCCAACCAAAACCCCAACAAGCGACCACTATCCGCACAGCACTACCCTCGCCTCCAAGGATGGCAGTTGGTCGGTCTGCGTGAGATGTGTGGCTGCCAACAAGAGATACGCGATGGCATCCGCCACCAAGTTGCGACTCAACGAGAGACAACGTTGTGCCAGCTCCGCGCAGGTGCGATCGCGCTCCAGCACCTCTCCGGTTCCGCAGGGTTCCGGATGGGGATGGCGGGGATGGCGGTGCGTGTTTTGGTTTCGAAGAGCAAGCAAAATAGATGGAGTCAACTTCCTGTGAGTTGACCTCAGAAACTGGGTACCAAGGTTCGATAGCAATGGTTTGTCTGAAGCAACGCACTGGAAAAAAAACGGATGTCATGAGTGTCTGAACCAACCTGAGCCCCCTTCACTTTCCCCCAAAGACCGCCACCAAGATCATCACTTACTTCTCAAGAAGTGGGGCAATCTGCCCATTTCGGATGGATCACCAGTCCGACCTGCCGCAGCTGAAGCTCTAAGTGTTCGTAGGCTTCGCTGAGGGCGTGCATGAAGCTGGTCTTGTTGCGAGATGGAAAAAGATTCGGATAGTTCCTTGGTGAAGAACAGAAAGAACAGAAAAACACTGTGCTCGTTTTGCTTCTGGTGTTTGGTCGGTCCGCTAACAAAAAACAGAAACCCATGTAATAGAGATTAAATGATCTGCATGTTAAACGGCATCACCCGCAGGGGATACAGAAAGAACACTTCACTGTGATTACTTGGGTTCAGGGTTTGTTACAGAGAAATCATGTCTGTATATGCCATATGCATTGCTTGGGACTTTCCTCCTGGGCTGGAACCCTTGTTCCCATAGGATGCGGTCCCTTTCTTCAACCTTCACGCAAGGAGCCGCCCTTGCACGGCCTCAACGAAAAAAGGTAACTTGAGAGAGGAGGGGGTGAACGAAAGGTAGCAAGCAATCATAAGTAACCCTGCTAGAAGTCCATGACGGCGTCAAAGGTGGATGGATGTGACCCAAACAGCGACGGCGCAGGGGGGGGAATGTCGAACAGAATCATTACTTACAGGACCAAATTCAATGCACAATCCCAACTCCAGATTGTAATACATTTTGCTAAAGCAAGGAGAACTCAGGTAGCTCAAGCTACCTTTCATGACAACTGGTTGGTGGTTTCAACGAAAAGGAAACACCCGTAGAAGATAGAAGCCCTCGAGTTCAAGAACTTGCCCGGCTGCCCTACCCTTCCAGATCCATCTCGATCAAGCAACCAGGTAGCTGTAGGTGGGGGGTCAGTTCCCTATTGCAACTGGAAGGCTAGGCCGACTAGGCTTGTGCATCTGAGCTTCAACAAATCTCTGCATAAGCCACACATGCGCCGCACCTCTTCCTCACTCAAATTGCCTTATGCTGGCTGATCAGGAACCCAGAAAAAACAATGAATTCACAAGCGTTTTGCACGATCCAACTCTCTCTTTGAGAAGGTTTTTTGGGACCTCCAAAACAACTCCTATATATGGTATGTGGATCCAACGGAAAGAACAAGAAAACCTTTGGTATTCACAACATGTTCCCAAAGATCAAGGACTTTCCGCTAGGCAATTGAACACCATATAATAGGCAACTAAAATCAACTAAATCTTTAGACCTTGCTCTCACGAGTTGCTGTTGGCTGCATTGCTTCGAAGCCATCGCTTCAAGAGTTCAATGAGCCGGGTCCGGGGATCATGTCGATAAGGCGCCATGCTCGTTTGGGCTCGATGGCCCATGATCTTGAAGTAGGTCGTTTTACCTCAATGGGGTCAGAAGAACACCCATTGGAACACCACGGGACCAGCAGGGGTCTGTGCCCAATATGGGGTGCTTTTCATGCAGGGCAGAGGCCATGGATCCAATGCTCAGACGTCCCAATGCCAGCGAAGACGTCAGGGGAATAGACATCAACGCTGGCGTGTTTCTTTTCGTTATCTCTACGGACTTCATCAACTAGAGCTGCCCCAGTGGATCCCAGTTGTACATATCCACTACACTCCCTGGAGTCATCATGGAAGCGGATGGCATGGCCCCTTGGATGACCCTTTCCTATACAAATAGGTTATTCTATGTTATTCTTCCACTTCCATGATAATTCCAGGGAGCGTATATTGTTGTAAGGAACCAGGGTCTTAAGGATAGAATCTTTGGAGCCACTGGTTGCCTCTTATAGTGACTATACGCCATCCACGGGGCGCGACAGCGGTCTAAACACGTTCCAAAGACCTTGACGGGTGCGCAAGGGCCAAAGGCGGGGCATTCTCCAACCTGATAGCGATGGCCTCCAACCAAAGAGCGATGGCCTCCAACCTACTTGCGA